CTGTATCTGGTAAAGATCCTATGAACATTAAAAAAAATAACTACAAAGGACTTAGACTTAGTTCCATAAACTTAGTTGATAAAGCAGTGTCAGGGTTTGAGAGAACTGACTCCAACTATGAAAGAAGTACTGCTATGGGTAAACGCTATCAAACAGCATCACATGCTACACAGAATCTATCTTTCTAGAAAGGAAGAGTCAGTCAATGTGGCAAACTTCTGTTGTCTTGTTTTAAGATATTGCCAGAGCTACCCCACCCTTCAGCAACCATCACCCTGATCAATCAGTAGCCATTAACAAGGAGGGAAAACCCTCCACCAGCAAAAAGATTATGACTTCCTAAAGACTCAGGTGACAATCAACATTTTTAAAGTAATAAAGTATTTTAAAATTCGGGTATGTACATTTTTAGACAAATGCCATTGCAGACTTATAGACTACAGTATAGTATAAACACAATTCTTATATGAACCAGGAAATGAAAAAATTTGTGTGACTCGCTTTATTGCAATATTCACTTCAATATGGCAGCATGGAAACAGACCTGCAATATCTCTGAAGTATGCCTGTAGAAACATACAAATATATTGAAAGGAAACAGACAGAAAAATACATATTATTAAACAGTAATCACAACAAGGTTGGAATGTCTAAATCAATCATATAAACAGACTTTATAATGTGAAGCATTTTCAGTAAGAAAAAGAGAGATTTCATAAAGATAAAAAATAGAAAATCCATGTTCATGGATTATGAGATTTAGTATTGCTGAAATATTTCCCAAACTGATGTAAGCATTCAACCTAACCCCCATCAAAATCCCACCAGGCTTTTCTTTTTCCTTTTTCTTTCTTTGGTAGTAACTAAAAGTTGATTCTAAAATTTATATAGAAATGCAAAGAACACAGCATATCTATATTAAGCTTAAAAAATAACAGAGTTTGAAGACTTACATTATAATCAAAGAAACACTAAAGAAACTCCAGAAATAAATCCATATAGATATATTGTTCAAGCAATCCAATGGGAGAAAAGAGAGTCTTTCAACAAATAGTTCTGTAATAACTAGATATCAGTAAGTAAAAATTGAAGTTGGCTTCAACTCATACAATAAATGGAATTTAATTTGACCAGATAAATAGAGCTAAATACAAAAACTAAAGTGATAAAACTTCTAGTGGAAAACACAAGACAATATAATGATGATGACTTGGGAGTAGCCAAAGGTTTCTTGGAACACAGAAAGGCAATAAACATAAAAGAAAAAATTTGGATAAATTAGATTTCATCAGAAATTTAAAATTTCTCATTAAAAGATACTGCTAAGACAATGAACAGGTAAGCCACAAACTGAGAGAAAAATATGTGAAAAATATGTGTTTGAGAAAGGACTGTTATCACAAGGTATGTAAAGGACAATGAACTGATAAAAAAAAGTCAGCACCTCTGCCTGCAAAAAAAATTGGGTAAAGGATTTGAAGAGACACTTTTCAGAGTAAGATACATAAATGGCCAATCAGTACATTACAAAGTGCTCAACATTATCAGTCATCAGGGAAATACACACTCAAACTGTTATCAGAAAATATCCACCAGAATGGCTAAAAGTAAAAATGACAATGCCAAATGCTGATGAGGCTGTGGAGCAACTGGAACTCTAATACACTGTTGTTGGAAGTATAAAATGCTATAACTTCTTTGGTTTAAAAAAAAAAAAAGTCTTACCATTTCTCTAAATACCAAACACATGCCTAACTCTATGACCCAACAATTTTATTCACTGCCATCTATGTAAGAAAAATGAAAGCATTTATCCTTACAGACTTGTTCAATAATATTCACAGCAGGTTTATTCATAATACCTCAGAAACTGGTGACAGTCCAGATATTCACCAAAATGAGAATGTATAAACTGGTATGTTCATGCAAGTCTGTTCTTTCTTTTATGTGAAAGTGCTTTAAATATTTGAAGACTTATATTTCACAGCCTCTTCTATTTAATGGTCAAACACCACAAGTTCATCCCAGCGGTTATTACAAGAAATGTTTTTCAGTTCCTTCCACACACCTGCCTCCTCTCCCATTACTCTCCTTTAGACATGCTTCACTGTGTCAATGTCCAATCTATAGGATAATGCATTAATACTAAAAAAAATTCCTAATCAGTCACATCACAATATTGGCTCCTAAGAAATTCACAGGCAAATAGAAATCTCAAAATCACTCTAATGTAAGGTATTACTAATCTACATTTTTCTCATCAATCATACCAATTGCACTACTGGCCCACAATTCTTCATAATGTATTTAAAAAAATAGCTGAGCACAGTGGTGTGCCTATAGTCCCAGCTACATGGGAGACTGAGGCAGAGAGATGGCTTGAGGCCGATCAAGGCTGCAGTGCACTATGATCATGTTCAGCCACTGCACTTCAGCCTGGGCAACATAGAAAATCTAGAAAGTTAACTTCGATTAATGTTAAACTTGCTAATCTAGTAAGAACCCAAGCTTAACCAGTCCAGTTCCTTACATGATTAGTGCTCAAGAATGATACCCCTTAAAATATAATGTACTGTGTATTAACCCTGCATCTTGAGTTTCCAATTCTAATCCACTGTACATGGCACTACCATTTGGATCTTAAAACACCCTTTTGAACCCATCACCCTACAGCCAAGAAACTATCAACCATTCCTTTCTAACTCTAGAAGTCTATGACTCTATATAATATGAGCCTACTTTTCTAATCCAACTGTCTATGAATCCTCTTCAATAGACCTTAATCCTTGAATATTTTAAACAGTGTTTTACCCCCTTGTACAATGGTACTTCTGCTGCCTTTGAGTCCTAGAGTATTATCATAATCATAGTTCTATTTTTCCTTTAACACTCAGCTTTCTCTCTAAAGTCCTTGAACGTAATTAGAGGGAGTTTTCGTTTTGTTTTTTTTAAATTCTGTATTTTCTGAGTCACTCATTTGGAAACTAGTGTATGTCATCGTAAATTGTTTGTTCATTATTTGCTTATTTGTTTTACAAAATGTTCTGTCTCCCTGAACAGAGATCACATCAGTCTCCAGAGCCCCGCTTTGGACTCAGTTTGGTATAGTACTGGATGTACAGGCCCTTGATGTTGGTTGCTGATTTTGTCAGGTGATAAAGGGCAGGAAGGAAGACTTCCAGTCTCTGAATATTCATCTTCACTACCAGTTACAGGAGAGGAGGGGTGTCTGCTAGGCAGAAAAAAGCTTGAGGCTTATATTAACATATTTGTCAGGAGGCTTTCTGACACTCATGCTCCCACCTCCCAGAGAGCCCAGGAAATCCAGCACATATGGGATATTCTTCTCAACTGCTGGGTAGCTGGGAACAGAGGCTGTGGTTGCTGAGCAGTTGCCCAGGGCAGCTTGGCCACCCTGGAGAACCAAGAAAAGAGGGGAAATAAAGGGTTTTCCTAGGCATGCAAGTAATCACTTGAATGTTAAAAGAAAACTAGGCTTGTTATGTTCACAGTAGATTTCCTCAATTAGAAATGTTACAACAAATTTGTCTGAAGTTAATGGAAAGCATACTTATATACATATTCATAAAGTGAACATGCATCAAAGACACTTTAAAGGGTGTTCTTTGACATCATAATTTGGGTTTGTAACATAAAGAAAACAAATAGTGATTAATCAACTAAGTAAGCTTTAGGGACTTTGTATGTTGACTAATAACGATGTGTGACCTTTTCTAAGAAAAAATGGATTTTTAATGGGCATAAACATTTTAATCCCTATTAGGTTTCCAAGAGCCAACTTGATTTTCCAAGGGGCATATAAAAATGTTAAATTGTCCTTTTGTAATATATGCTATATAGGCATATATCTTAACATATTTTCTAAGTATCCTAGAGCAGAGAAACTTAATCCTAGGACCCACAGGGTTCATAGATCCCTTGGATCCACAGAATGGCTTCAGAATATCTCTGAACAACCTGAAACTGTAGGCAAAATTTGTGAATGTGTTTATAGAAAAAGGGTTTATGGTTTTCAACAGATTCTCAAAGGGGTCTGTGACCTAAAAAATATTACAACTACTTCTTAGAGATGATTTGAACCACCATCCTTGCTATAGTTATTAACAAGGAATAGAACTGTGTAATTAAGGTATAGATATAAAACAGAGTTTAGCCATTTTCAGGTTATACATTTCAGCCAACTTGATCCAAAACTTACTTCGCAATTCTACATGTAGATGCTAACTTAATCCTCTTCTTGTCTTATCTATGGATATTAGATTGAATTGTGTGAAACTGCTGTTTTTGTTAGTGAAAAGAGTCAAATATTGGCAAATATATTCAACATATTGTAATACATTTCTGGTTTTTAGGTAGATGCTGTTTACAGAGGATATTCTGTATGCTAAAAGTGGTGCACAGTTCTTATACAAAGCCTTAAAATTGGCAAGAAAGCTTTACAGTTCCTGTAGCAAAACCAGATCAGAAAAGAATATAATTTTCACATAGTAAGAGCAATCTAAAAACTGAAGATGAATGAAGACAATGTTCTTTAAACCATGTTTACAGATGAATCAATAATTGAAATGAAAAGATATCAATAAATTTCAGGAATAATTATGTGAATTATTATATTATGTGAATAATAACACTCTTACCTTTTTGAGGTACAAAGAAATAAATGACTTTTCCAACATTACCTAAACCAGTTTTTCATCTCCCATGGAAATAGGAAATGCCCTGTAACTACCCCTTTCATTGATGGGCTAGGAAATGTAAGCGAAGGAAGAAAAAGTGAAAAAATCATTGTCTTAAGTGGACTGTCAGGGCCTGGCACATAGTAGGTTCTCAATTAAATACTTATTTGAATATTTAATGTATTAAGATTCTTTGAAGGCTATTCATTCCTGCATAATCTTTTTTAAATAACTGCTAATGTAAATACCAGATTTGTGACAAAATTCACACGTGTCAAAGACAGATTTTTTTTTTGTACTTACCTCAGCAGAGTTGTGATACTGAATGAAGGTTGCAGAAATGGCATGGCTGAAGGGGTCCCCTGCCTTAGTTACCATGTCTTGCCTCACAAGAAGAGCCAGATCCACTAACTAGAAGACCAGAACAATGAAATGAAGTCACATAACTAGAAATAATCATGAAAGCCACTGAAGTGGCAAACCTAAAAATAATATATTCTAAATGTTACTGATAATCCTGTGCCTAAAAATCTATATTGTAGACAGGAGCACACACTTTCATTGACTGGTGAATGGACCTAGTCATGAATACACATGATATATTCTGACCTTATAGGAGAGTAGTTCTCAAAATTTATTTCATAATCACTAGGGCAGATTTCTGTGCTGTAAGTCCAGAGATTTTAATTCAGTAGGTCTGTTTTAAGTGTATAGTCTAGGAATTTACACTTTATTTTATTTTTTTGAGACAGAGTTTTGCTCTTGTTGCCCAGACTGGAGTGCAATAGCACAATCTTGGGTCACTGCAACCTGTGCCTCCCAGGTTCAAGCGATTCTCCTGCCTCAGTCTTCCAGAGTAGTTTGGACTACAGGTGCCCACCAACACGCCTGACTAATTTTTTTTTTTTTTCTGTATTTTTAGTAGAGATGTGTTTTCACCATGTTGACCAGGCTGGTCTTGAACTCCTGACCTAAGGTGATCCACCTGCCTTGGCCTCCCAAAATACTGGTATTAAAGGCATGAGCCACCACGCCAGGCCAAAGTTTGCATTTTAAACAAGAACCAAGGAGATGCTGATGCTTGTGATCTAAAGACCACATCTTGAGAAAGTCTTTTAGAGGGCAGTGGTTTCAGACCCAGAATTTGGTAAGCACTCATAAGATCTCACGTATGTAGAAAGGTGTTTTTCAAAGCTCAAAAATAATCTCTAAATAAGGCGGATATGTACTTAATGAGTTCAATGTCAAGAAAAGGTATGCAGGGATTCCATTTCTCATTAGGATAAAAGAAACTGTCTTTTTTATCCAAACACCCACTTGAATTGAGGATGTAGAGACACATAACTGAACTAAATTTTAGAAAACGATGTAAATGTCACAGGAGAGAATTCATGGCTGTTATTTCTATTAGAGCAGCAGGTAGAAGAATTGATCATGGACAAAGATAAGGAAAAACACCCAGCCTGTGTGGCCCAATATGACAGATCAGAATTCTTACCTGTGCCACAGTTTCATACGCTAAATATGCTAAAATTTCCATAGCGACAACGTTGGGTTTTATCTCCATACTGCTGCAGTCCAACCAGTCTCGGAATTTGGAAGCTTTTTTGGCTAGCCATTAAAAAAAAAACAAGTGTAGAAATTTAATTTTTAAAGTGTTTTAATACTGCACATTACTATCACAAAATGAAAAATATATATACTCAGAACTGTACACAAAAAATAATGCACATAAAGTGTAATGTGTTTGAACTTTTATTAATGTCTAGATATTCTGGCCCCAAGAAATCCAAGTTCTAACTCTCAGCTATAAAGCAACACAACGGTTGTTTTAAACAACTTTCTTACGCATTTGGATCTTTTAGTTTATAACTATGCTATATGACACAGTATATAAAACCATTTAATGTTTACTACTTTTCACATTGTGTCAGATTTACCATTGGCTATAGCTTATGTTACAACAAGTGTCAGAAATGTACTTGGTCTGATGTAACCTTAATTTACATTAAGCGGTGGTAGCAGAGATGGTGGGAGTGAGAACGGCCTTTTGGGCTGTGGGCTGCATGGAAGCTGGGTGAGGCCTGTGGCTGCTTGCTTTCCTCCACTTCCCTGGCTCCCTGCATGAGGCAACAGAGGCAGCCATAATCCCCTTAGGAACATAACTCCATTGGTCTAGGAGACACACCCTCATCCCCCACAGCAGCCACAGCAAGCCTCGCCCAAGAGAAGTCTGAGCTCAGAAATGCCTAACTCTGCCTTCACCTGATGGAAACCTAAATATTGTATGCTCTGACTTGTAAGTGGGAGCTAGTCTATGAGGATGCAAAGGCATAAGAATGATATAATTGAATCTGGGGACTCAGAGAAAAGGGTGGGAAGTGGGTGAGGGATAAAAGACTGCACATTGGGTACAGTGTACACACTGCTTGGGTGATGGGTGCACCAAAATCACAGAAATCGCTACTAAAGAACTTATTCATGTAACTAAGCACCATCAGTTCCCCCAAAAACCTACTGACATAAATAAGTTAAAAAAAGTATCTATTACTAGAGTAGCTCAAGGTTGTAAATTTAAAATTAAATAAAATAAACTGACATCTGGTCTAATCTAAGCCTGTGGTTACATTTTTTTCTGATTATAAAGACGCCTAAATTCTTAAGCCTGACTCTGAAAACCATCCAGCCTGATTCCAAACAGCCTTTATGACATTTCCCTATTAAGCCATCACCTGGCCTTGAGTCTTATCCTCTGTGTGTCTACCCCTACCCCTTTCCTTCCATGGAATGTACTCCCTTCACTCTTCTTCATTCATATGAATCTTGGTCATACAGGCCGAAGGTATACTTCCCCACTCTAGCCATTTACTGAACACTGATCTCATCAGATGTTCTTTCACAAATGTTTATAATTAATCCATATTACAAGATTTTTTTTGTGGGAGAAGACCATGCCTTATGTCTCTGTATATGTAACAGTACCAAGCATATACAGAACTAAGCACATATGTAGCCTTTAGGTAAATATCTCTGCACTGCCACAGTGCTAAGCAGAGTCTAATTTGATATAGGGACTTCATTAGACCTTATTAATTTAACTAGTAACCTAGAGGGGAAGATTGATAGTGAAGATTTTATCAAATTTGTAAGATCTTTTTTTATAATCCACTGATTATTCTTTTGATTAATGTGGCCCCACAGGTCTATAAAACACTTAACAGTAACTCAAAGCACGATGTTTTGATCGTTCTATATAGAATCTTCAAGGATTCCACATACAGAAGAGTTTTCCTTCAAATAAATCACAGAAAACATTAAATACTGCTATCGAAGCACATACCCAAAGCTGTCAAATATGGCAGAATTATGATAATCCTCCTTAAAGCTATCTCCCCAAAGTAACAAATCTCCCAAATACTTTCTGACATGCAACATTCCATCTAACTACTATTCTGCAATAGCTCACAAACACTTGTTTAACATCTGTGGAATACTTTGAAGTTAAAGTCAGCAATTTGGCAAGATCAATAAGATGTACATTATTCACTTCTCTCCTTGACAGATCTTTAGGACAGAAGTGGATATTTTGTGACTGTGCTCTAAACAGCTGATTTTAAAAGTGAGGGAAAGGATCATTATTAATATTCAGTCAGATCCATCCACATAAGCAACAGAATTAGCTTCCTTGCTAAGCTGTAAGTGCTGAGAATGCAGGGACAAGGACCATGTATCCCTAGCACCTAGAATACTGCCTGGGCATTAGCAGACTCACAAGAAATATTTTCAGAAGAAATAAATGAATGAATGAATGAATGAATGAAAAGTACTTTTAAAATAAAAGAGTAGGATCCAAACTTTTCTCTTCATCAAAAGACATGCAGAGAGGTCCCATAAGCCACTTGGGTTATTGCTGTTCCACCAAGAGGTGGAACTTCTTTGAGCTAATTCCTTCCCTGTCACCTGGAGAAGGATGGCTTCAGAGTCTGGCCCTTCCAAGGTACTGTTGGTTCTAGCAGAAGAGGCACATATACCTCTAGTTATAACAGTTTGTTTTCATCAAGAGGTGAGGGGGGCCTCAGAATAAACAAATTCCTTCTTCACCCCTCTTCCCAATATATCAGGAGAAAGGATAAGCTGGAAATTGGCTAGCAATTTAAATATAATCCTGAGCAATGCTCAAAAATTCCTAGGATTATCAGCTTTCTAATACTACCTGGATTTTCATCCTGTGCTGAACTTAAAAAACAACTTTACATGATAATTTCATATGGAAATTTAAGGTTAATCTCACATACTTTTTATCTTTCTTATCGATGATCACTAACAACATTTAAATTTCTTGCAATATTCCATTCTCTTATGCCTACATAGTATTTGGTGATTTCTACCCCATCCCTTCCCAACAGTCTTTCCACTTCCAATCCTTCCCTTTGGGTCCTCTGGAATGCTCATTCCACTCAAAAGAAACTACTCTGCAACTTCATCCTAGTTAAAAATAGCCTTCTTCAGAGGGCATGGTTTTCCCCAGAACCTTGCCTAGCAGCAGTACCTTATTCCTTTCCTTTATACACATTTATGGGCAACTACTGTTGGCCAGTGTGTTTATTTTCCCATATAATGGGGGACCTGGAACCAATATCTTCATTCTCTTAGTTTTGTCCCCAAGGAAAATACATAACAAGCAGACTGACAGAAAACTTCTACTAACAACAGGGGCCAAAAGACAAGGGAATTATGTTTTAATAAGTAACTGTGAGCTTACAACTTCCTACCCTACTAAACAATCATTTAAGTATAGAGGCAAAATAAAGCTATTTAAGAAAAATATAAGTGTTTTAACCATGCACAGACCTGCAGGAGAAAATGACATTAGACCAAGAAGGAAAGTTTAAGTCTTATCACTTTTACCAATCAATCTAATATAACATAGAAAAGAAGGAGAAAAAGCAAATTAAAAAGCACAGTAAATTTAAAACACAAGACAGCATATACAAACCCAAATGTATCGGTAATGAAATACATATAAATCGAACTAATCAATTAATATACACAGAGCCTCTCTGATTAATTAAAAAGAAAATCTAGACAAAACCAAACATAAAATAAAAAGCTGAAAGTAAAGGACTGGAAAATAATGTACCAATTATATATTCTAATTATAAATTTTAATGATTGAAATAATAATTATTCTTTAATTATAACTGTGAGCTTTGTGTGTCAATATTAATATCAGATTTTAAAAGACTTTAGGAGAAATGACTCTCTGAGATATATATATAAACGAAAGACTGAATTGTAAATTAGATTAGTGTGCTGATGCTACAGCTTACTCTCAGCCTATAAGGTTACAGACTCTTTATTTTAAAATGTACTGTAATTCCAGGGATGGCTATGATCAAATATTTAAGAAGATACATATGGCAGAACCCCAATTCCTGTATCTTGGTAACTTACTAGAAGGAGAAGAAGGAAAAAAGCATAACGCTCTGACGAGTGCAGGAATAGCTTCTGAATTTGCTGACCCATGTGGATTAAACCATTCTAAACCACAGTATTCTGTCATATAAAACAGATTCCCCACCAAGGTTTGATAATAAAGCACCTTTGGGTACCATATAAATAGTTTTAAATGACCAAATCCTTCCACTCTAAAGAAAACTAAGCACAATGTACTGTTTATACTGTAGTTTTTTTAATACAGAAAGGGAAAATATTATTTTTTAATCTACTATAGTTTATTGTTGAGTTAAAAACAAAGCATGAGCGAGGTGATATGGCTCACACCTGTAATCATAACATTCTGGAAGGCCGAGGCAGTGGATCACCTGAGGTCAAGAGTTCAAGACCAGCCCGGCCAACACAGTGAAACCCATTTCCACTAAAAATATAAAAATTAGCTGGGTGTGGTAATGCAAGCCTGTAGTCCCAGCTACTTGGGAGGCTGAGGCAAGAGAATCACTTGAAACCAGGAAGCAGAGGCTGCAGTGAGCCAAGATCACCCCACTGCACTCCAGGCTGGTCAACAAAGTGAGACTCCATCTCAAAACACCAATAATAATACACACACACAAAAAAACCACGAAGTAAGTGTAAATCTGATTTTCAAAGAGAAGGTATATTAGGAGTCTTTAAGTCTATGAGTTTCAGTGTTAAAGTAGTATGTCTGTACCTTTAAGAGAATTAAATTTAAAATATGATTTAAAAAAATAGTTCAATTGCACTAAATGATACTTTATAAAGTGGAGGTTCATACTTATAAAGACTTGAATGCCATTTTTAAACCTAAAAATTACAATATAAAACCTTTCATTTGCTGAAATTGCCATGATCTGAAGTGCCATTTACTTAATGCTTCACAGATGTATGATGCCAAGTTGTTAGTCAAATTGGAAAGTATATTTAGTTAGAAAAAAAAAAATCTTCCAAAACATGTTTTCCTATATTTTACTGACATTTACATGGGATACTATTTGAAATGTGTCATTTATTTGCACTTTATAATCTATAAATGAAGCTTCCCTTTCTTTTTCCAAATAAAATATGCTGTTATTGTGACCACAAAATAGCTTTTCATTTAAAGACACCATTGTTTCTATAATTGTTTCTACCATGGTCATGTGCTACTTTGTCATATTTTTAACTGGACTTTTCATCACACTTTCTTCTTTGACCTTTACCCTGAGAGCCTTAGTCATAACTGAAAGTTTGCTGTAAGGGTGTTTTGCTACACAACTGTAGCTCACTATTATGAGTTGTTATACACTTTTAATAAGCTGATGTGCAGTGATCTGAAAGTGCTAATTTTACCACGAGGTTACTGGTGTTACTAGAGCATGTACTAATAAATTTGGCTAACACTGAATACATGCCACAGTAGGAGGTTAGACAAAAATGGAAGAGACCACTGATATGTTCCTTTGCGGTAATATGAATATGCATAAAGAAAAAGTTTTGAATCTATAATTAATATTGGGAGCCTTTAAATGTCATGACTACTATTAGAGTCTATTATGGATCAAATGCAATAAAAAATACTAGTATAAATATGACTAAAAAGTTAGAAAACAAAGCAGTAGAATGTAGGCTCCCCACAATGCAGAGGTTGTTTCTATAACAGTTACAACTACACATATTTGAAATCCACCAATTTCTAAGAAACAGATCCTGTCATACTTTAGTACATCTATAACATAAATCTCTTATGCATATAATTAAGCAAAGTTAAATGCATACTTACAGAAACTTAATTGTCGACTTTCACAGAATTCTGCATATTGAGCTGAATCCATAATTCGAGTTTGTCTCTCTGCTCTCTAATAGATAGAAAGACATAAAAATTTTTTTTTAAAGCAAGTAAACTATTGTATATGTTTTCACAGCTTAAACTGAGAATTAAAGTACCATTTTCCTTTTCTTATTCTAGCTGAACAGGTTAGTACTACCACACAGATCATAGCACATAAAATTACGATAACTAATAGTAGGTGTGAAGCTGGTGTCTTTTGGAAATCAAGTTTAAAATATTATTTTCTGCTCCTCTGTTACTAATACTAAAACTAAAGGACCTCACTTCTAAATTTTCTAACTTGTATCATCCTTTTAAAGAAAAAGAAAATGATGAGGAAATAATAAACCAAAAAGAAAAACAGTTACAAATATTATTGTCAATCCACTTTACAGCTGTGATTTTCAATGTTAAACAAGAATCAGCAAATGAAATCCATATATTCCCTTTCAGTTAGAATCTGGGGCTACAGTTGACAAATCCATATTTTAGATTGCAAGAAAATAAAGAAAAAGGTAAACACAATACAGATCCTTTAATCTGAGTCCAGGTATGATTCACAGTTTGGTATAGTTTCATTTGCGGGGTTTTTGATTCAGTATAGCAGATGTTTGCTGCTTCACTGTCCCACAAGAGGTAGGATAATTATAATTCATCTATAGTTTGGTGGGAAAGAATATGACCACTTCCACTTCCTTGGTAAGGGGAGCATTTTGAAATAAGACAGGCTGGTACTTCTTGGAATGAATTTCTGCTCAGTGAAGAAAAAAGAATTCCGGATAAATTTTTTTTCTGTTGTGGAAGAACTTTCAGCAAGTTATCTTCGCCACTGTTGATGGAGCACATAATTACCATTTCTTCTAATGTCTGTGGATATTTTTGTATTTTGAAACAGAAATTATTCTTTTTTCTTTTATGTGCGTTGAGTAGTCAATTTCAATGATATGTCAGTTGATGGAATGAATAATGGTGTACTAACTGGGGCTTAACAGAGAATATTGGGGCAGCGGGAGTTAATGTGAAAATTACTAGTCACTACAGTGGTTCCTTTTAAGACCACTGACTGTTTTTCCCCTTCCTTTATTTTCCTTCTCCCTTTTTTCTTTCCCTCCCTCTCTCTCTTCCTTCATTCCTTACCTCCCACGCATCCACATACTCACATACATACATATATGCAGGCACAAACACGGGCCTCTTCTGGTTATTTACCAACTAAGTTCAAGTATCCTTTATGGGCACGTACAAACATTTCATATATACATGAGGTATATATGTAAGTGTACATATATGCATATAAAGATAAATATATAAATTATATATGTACACATATATATACATTTATCTTTTATATATATACAAACACACATATATGTATATATGTATGTAAATATCTTCTTGCTCATGTGTCAAAAATACCATATCTTGGCTGGTGCAGTGGTTGACACCTGTAATCCCAGCACTTGGGAGGCCAAGGGGATGGATCACTTGAGGTCAGCAGTTCGAGACCAGCCTGGCCAACATGGCGAAACCTTGTCTCTTCTAAAAATACAAAAATTAGCTGGGCGTGGTGGCACAGGCCTGTAATCCCAGCTACTCGGGAGGCTGAGGCAGGAGAATTGCTTGAATCCGGGAGGCGGAGGTTGCAGTGAACTGAGATTGCGCCACTGCACTCCAGCCTGGGTGACACAGCAAGACTCCATCTCAAAACAAACAAGCAGACAAACAAAAAAGAAATACCCTGTATCCTTAAGAGATATTATTGGTTTAATTAATTTTTATTTACTTGGAATTCTTTTTGAAATATAAACGCACGATCTAGTTTTTTTCCTCTTTTTAATGTATCTGATACATAATAAATGTTTCCTGATGAAAACAGGAAGCAAGGAAGGGAGAATTTATTTATATGTTTTGAACATTATAAAAAAGTTACTAATGTGTTTATTTAAAAAACTCTCCAAGACTGATAACACTATCATTAATTTGTATCTATGTACATATGTTTGTATATATAACTGTTTGTCTTTGTCTCACTATAGCAGGAACCACTCAAGTTTGAATTTCTAGCTCCTAGGAAAATATCTGACACATGGCAAATAAGCAGTAAACATTTGTCAGATGAACAAATGCTACTCTTTTATTATACAAGGCAAATGACTATCGCCATAATAGAAATAGATCAAGAATGATGATCTAATCATTCCTACATATCATCTCTGCTACTCTTCAGCTTAGTAGTCTCCTCCACCCAATGTATGGCTAGACAGAAAGGACTTGGATAACTACGGGGAAAGAAAGTTCCTAAAGAGATTCTTTACACTAACTTTTTCTTCCACCAAGTCAGACAACCAAGATTTGGCTTCTATATATGCTTGGATAGCTGACATATCTGCATTAAGTGTTTCTAGAAATGAGAGTTAGGAACACTTATCCTCGGAGGTTAAGGTTTCCAGAGTTGCCAGCTACAATATTTCAAAGATATCCATAAACATCTGAAAGACTAAATTATTATGGCCTACTTCATTCCTTTCAGATACCCTCTCCAATGCCTATTCTCTTTTCTTCATTAAGCATCCTATTTCTTTTTGAATTCCTCCAGCATCAAAGCAGTAAACTTTGATCTGAGGACCCCACAAAGATGACCCTAAGGCATATATAAAAAGCCATTTATCCTGTGGCTAGCACACAGCAAACACTCCATGTAAAGCAGCTGACTCAGCAGCAAAGACTCATAGACAATACACAATCATGGCTTAGAGATAGAGGGCAGCTTAAAGTTTATCTTGTTCAAACCTCTGCAATTCAAAGATCAGGAAACTGAGGTTCAGAGAAGTGATTTGTCAAAGGTGACTAAGTTAGCATTGAAGCTCAGGACTCCCAAAAGTCAGCCTATTTTCATTATAAAAAGGGGTCTTCAACTGATGGTACTTTTTTATTCCAATGTTTTCCTTTGGGATGCTCTAAATATCTCACATTGTCTCACTAAAACACGTCATGTAACCCCTACAATTAACATGCTCGAACTATTCATAAGAAAAGAAATTAGCAAGGCCCTCGGTCAGCAAAGAATGTACAACCTGGGGGTAATCTAATGCAGAGTGTACAAACTGTAGTGTATCTGATAGTGCAAGCACGTTGCAAGTGTGTAGAGATACTAATTCCATTCACTTTCTGGATGCTGAACAAGGCTGAGGCAGCAGAACCCCTAGGCTGGTATCTGGCTACAAGTTGCCTTGTCTATTTACCTTGGTGGGTGATAAAAAATATTACCATTTTCTATGTGTGCCGTGATGTGAGAAAGACTGGAAGCACTGTACTAATACTAACAGTGAATATTACATGACACAACACATGAATACTATTCACAGCACGGTCAAGGGAGGTCATGAAATCAGAGATTCTTTGAGCTATATATGCACTGACTTTGAGGACAATGAAAGTGATTTGGATATGCTTATCACCTAATTTTTGTTTATTCCTCTCCCTTCCTCCTGAATTGTTTCAAAAAAACAAAAAAAGGAACACATTTTAGCCATATGATCCAAATAATTCATCACCTGAGAATTATATTCTCTCTTGTCCTTCCACTATCATCTTAAATACTGAGAAAGGGAAAGAATATCTAACTTTCATGAACTATATATTCTTTAAATAGAGGAGCTGTACTTCTCTTCTAGAATCTCAGCGTTGACCCAATGGTTTGCTTAGATTTGTCTTGGCCTAACTAACCAAATCAAGGGACAGACAAATGGATAGACTGAGACAAAAGAAATGCATTTAAATATGTGTGGCTGGCCTAAGACTAGAAACTGTAAGAATTAGGACCAAATTGTAATCCAATTCTATGAATCCCAGAGAGACGAGGCAGTTTTCAAGACAAAAATCCATTAAAAAAAATCAAGACAGTGGTCAACTATTAAATAAGTGTGGCTCTTATTTTCTGTGGTGTCCCAATTCTAGCTTTTTCTCTGCCTCTATTTAGATCACCCATTCTGATCCATATCAAAGTACACATTGGCAGTCCTTTTCTATTCCTGGTACTTTAAGAAATCTGTGGAAAAAGATTCAAGGGGACAATATCACAAGCCTAGTAAAACATCATGATCAGAATAATGCTTACTCATTATTGAGAGCAGCACAATAACCTTTACAGTATCGTTTTATTAGTTTCATTTTACAATTGAGGACACTGATTTAGAGAACTTTAAGGAAAACTTTAAAAGCATACAGTTAATAAAGAGGCAAAACTAGAAGTAAAACGTGGGTCCTAAATACCTACTCTAAGGTATACAAAGTTTTTCAGGAAAGAGTTACTACTCTACATCACATTAACTGTAATAAGATTGTACTCCCTTTAGGCTCTAGTTTCTTTTGAACTAAATATTAGAATGGACACTTTTTGTTTGTTTGTTTGAGATGGAGTTTTGCTCTGTCATCCAGGCTAGAGTGCAGTGGCAGGATCCTTCGGCTCACTGCAAACTCGACCTCCCGGGTTCAAGAGATTCTCCTGCCTCAGCCTCCTGAGTAGCGGAGATTACGGGCATGTGCCACCACACCTGGCTAATTTTTGTATTTGTAGTAGAGACGGAGTTTCACCATGTTGATCAGGCTGGTCTGAAACTCCTGACCTCATGATCTGCCTGCCTTGGCCTCCCGAAGTGCTGGATTACAGGCGTGAGCCACTGTGTCTGGCCCACAAACTTAATTTGAAAAGAGTTACTTTAAAGTTAAAAAATTCATTTGACTATTCCATATAGTCATGAAACTAGATTAAAAAAGACATCATATCCTTGTAAAAGGCATTGAAAACACAAATCTCTGAAATAAAAGTCACCGAATAATCACAGATGATTTACCATGGCTTTTATTCATACTGAACATTCTCAAATTACACAATGCTCTCCTATCTCAGACGGCCACATGAATGTAAGGTCATATTTGGATTAGTCATACTCTTGTATCTGCAAGTCCAGTTTGTCTTCTGCTTAATGTGCCAATTCTACCCACTCCCTGGTTTCTTTAGGTGTCAAC